TGTGACACATCATAACTATCAGTAGACCTATATACTGAGTCCTCTGAATCTTCCTAGTAAATCACCAAACTGAATCTGGTCTTGGGGTCCCTGATCACATCCATTTTACTGTTGCTAGACACTTAGTTAGTTTCCAAGGTTTGGTTATTGTGCCAGACATAAAAGACTTAATGCTAAATGTTGTGTGCTTTTATGTATATTCACTCTGTGACTTACCTTAATGATGTCTTTTGAAAGAGACAAGTTTTTTATTTAAATATGATCCTTTTTTTTTTTCTTTATGGTTAGCACTTTTTTGTGTGTCTCAATAAGGAATGTTTGCCTGAGATCATGGAATAATTTTCATATATTATTCTCTAGAAACTTCAGTATTTAAACTTTCATGTTTAAGTATAAAATTCTCTTGGAACCAACTTGTGTTTGGTGCAAGGCAGGAGTCAATATTTATTTTTTTCATGTGGATATTTGATTGACCCAGTAACATTTAAATGACCATCATCTACAGAGTCATGCAGTTGCAATTTTGTTATATCAAGTATCCTATAAATGAACATTTGTTTTTGAATTCTCTATTGTTTCATTGGTCTATTTATCTGTTCATGCACCAGTAGTATCACAGCATTTTACCTACTGTAGCCTTATGTTGTCTTGATAGCTGATAGTGTGAGTTCTCCAGCTTTGCTTCTGTGTAAAATTGTCTTTATTATTGTTAATTCTTTGCATTTGCAAATAAAGTTTTAACTCAGCTTGCAAATTTCCATAAAAAATACTTAATGAAATTTTTTATTGAACATGCATTGAATCTATAAACCAGTTTGAGGGGAATTAAATCTTTATAATATTAAGTCTTTCAATTTGTGAACATGGCTCATCCCTCTATTCAGGTTTTGAATTTCTCAAATATATTTTATAGTTCTCTGTGTATAGGTCTTACACATCCTAGATTTATTCCTCAGCATTTGTTATTTTAATTGTATCATTTAAATTTCAGTGCTATATTGTTTGTTGTTGAAAAATAAAAATATAATTAAGCTTTCTATATTGACTTTGTATCTATCGCATTGCTAAATTCGCTTATTAATGGTCACAGATTTCTTGTAGACTTTTTTCTGGATTTTCTATGCATACAATTGTGTGGTTTATAAATAACAATTTCATTTCTCACTATTTCTAATTTTGATAGTTTTTGTTTGTTTTTATTTCCTCATTTCACTCACAACTACCTCTGATATAATGAGGAATAAAAGTGGTAACTCTGAGTATCTTTGTTTCCTTTTTGATTTGGGGGAAATGTTTAAAGGTTTTTTTTCCCAAGGTACTGTTTAGTTTAAGGAAGTTCTCTTCAATTCCTACACTAAGAATATTTTTTCTTCTTATCATGAATGGATGTTGAATTTTATCAAATGCTTTTCTTGCATTTGTTTAGATGATTAAATAATTTTCCCATTATTTTCTTAGTGAATTAATGTAATTACATTAATTAATTTTTCTGAACAGTAAATCAACCTTTCATTCCTAAAATAAATCTAATTTGGAATTGTTTTATTATACTTTTTATTAGCTCCTGAATTTGATTTATTTATGCTTTATTTAGTATTTTTATACTATGGTCTGTAAGTTTCCTTGTTGTTGAGTTTGGTATCAAGGTTAACTGGCCTCATACGATGAGTTGAGAAGTGTTCCTTCTTCAGTCTCTGAGTGAGTTGTGTAATTTCAGTGTCATTTCCTTCTTAAATGTTCAGAAGTTTTTTGTAGGGAGCAAGGAAGGCTCTTGCTCCACTAAGGTGTGCTGAAAAATCACTGACATGAGGCAGATTGATTAATAGGAGATGCAAGACAAAATTTATTTTAACATGTATACACAGGAACCCTAAGGATGAAGATTCAACTCCCCAGTGTAGTTTAGAAGTTTATATGCCTTTCTGGTAAAATGGGTTATGGGTGGGAAGGAAGAGGAATTTTGTTGAGGGGTAATAAAGGGTTGCTGAGGGGGGTGAATGGATGGGGAACAGAGATTAACTGGTAAATAGCTCTCCTTGGAATGTGGAATTTGTATGAGTCTGAGAGACAGGAGGTCATCTTTTCTTTAAAAAGTCTGTTCGGGTGTGGTCACATTCCTGGTCTTACAAGGAAGGGAAGGGAGGTTGTTCTCCTGGATGAGCCTGGATCATAGGCAGATACAGAAACTCCAGCTTTCTCGGGGAGGGCCAGTGGTGGTTGTGGGGTGGGGGCTGCTCAGAGGGGCCCTGAGGCTTCTTCAGTCAGTCCAGCATGTCAAAATGCCATATTTTGGATAAAATATTTCTAATTTTCTTCACGCTCATTGATAAAGAATTTGGTCAATAAAATGGAATTTTATTTGTGAGAAAAAAATTCAGTTTTAATTTCTTTAATACATGTATGACAATTCAGATTTTCTCTTGTATCTTATGCTAGTTTTGGTAAGTCATGCTTTTCTAGAAATTTGCCCTTTTATTTATTTTGAAATGTATTGGTATGACATTTTTATAAAATCTCCTTTTCTTCATGATGTTGATAATTTATGAATTCTCTTTTTTTCTTGGCTCATTTTGCCAATGATTATCCATTTTATTAGTTTTTTTCCAAGAGACAGCTTTTGGCTGTGTTGCATTTCTTTGCTGTATGTTTGCTTTCTATGTCATGAGTTTCTGTTCTCATCATTACTATTTCCTTCCTTCTACCTTATTTTGATTTCATTTATTAATACTATTCTTTTTCTCACTTTTCTAGATAGAATTGTTTTTCAAACTTTCTTCTTTTCTAGCATATGTATTTAAAATTTTAAATATCCCTCTCATTATGGCTTTGGCTGTACCTGACACATTTTGACATGTTTTATTTCCATTGTTAATCTGTTCAAAATAAATATTTTCTAAATTATGTTGTGATTTCTTCTTTGATCAATAGATTATTTAGAATTGTACATTGTGATTTTCTAGTTATCCCTGTTTTTTTTTTTTTTTTAAATCTTTAATTCCATCCTGGCCAGAGAATGCATTGCTATGATGTTAATCTTCTAAAATTTTTAGAGACTTATTTTATGGCTTAGATCAATTTTGGTAAATGTTCCAGGTGCACTTGAAAATAATATATACTGTGGTTGTTCAGTGTGTATTTTATATTTATCACTATGCCAACAATTTATTAATCATGTCCTTCAAATTCTTTATATAATTATTGAAATTTTTGCCTTCTTATTCTATTAGTTACTAAGAGAAGTATGTTAAATTCACTATGATCATGGATTTGTGTATTTCCTCTTTTAATTCACACAATTTTTTATTACACATTTTAAACTATATTTTGAAGTGCATTCAAATTTAGAATTACTACATCTTTCTGATGGATGGATCCTTTTATCATTATTAAATATCCTTCTTTATTATTAGTAATGCTTGCTCAATTAAAATCTACTTGTCAGATAATTGCATAGCTTCACTTGCTTTCATTTAGTTGATATTTGAAGGGTATGTCATTTTCTATTATTTCACTTTCAAACTTTCTGAATTCTTGCCCTTAAGCATATATTAACTTGTCTCTTTTATAAGCAGCATTCTGCTGCTACTGTTGAAAAATCTAGTCTGACAACCAGAGTGCTTTAATTGGTGTATTTATTCTATTTATATTTAATGTGATTTCAAATACATTTGAATTTAAGTATCTCATTTACTATTTGCTTATTTGCCATGTTTTTAAATTTTTCTTTTCTTCTCCTTTCTTGACTTCTTTTGGATTAATTTTTTTCATTATTATTTTTATTTCCTTCTCTATAATTCTCTTTGTGATTGGCCTAGAAATTACATCATGTATTCTTAGTTTATTGGCAGTCCTTTATAAATGATAATTTTACTATTTCCAGTACTCTAGAAATTTATAACATTTTAACTCCATTTACTTCCTTTCATACAATTTTGTTCATACAACTTAATTTTGTATAAATTTTAAACTCCCTCCAAAATTGTTATGGACTGAGTTGTGCCCCTCCCCATAATCTTACATGTTGAAGTCCTAGCTTCCAGGACCTCAGAATGTGACTGTGTTTAGAGATGTGCCCCTTAAAGATGTGATTGATGTAAAATGAGGTCATCTGGGTGGCCCTAATCCAATATGACTGGTGTCATTCTAAGAGGAGATGAGGACACAGATGCACACAGAGGGACGGCCAGGTGAGGACACAGGGAGTAGGCAGCTGTCTACAAGCCAAGGAGAGAAGCCTCAAAAGTACCCAACCCTGCCCACACCTTGATCCTGCACATCTGGCCTCCAGAAATGTATTATCTCCGGTGAGATAATGCATTTCTATTGTTTAAGCAGCCCCAGTGTGTGGTGCTTTTTTATGGCAGCTGGAGAAGACCAGTAGGGACATCATAACTGTTATTGTTTTAAACAGTTTTAACCTTGTGTTTACTCTGTTGTTCCTTATTCCTTCCTACATCACTATGTTTTTCTCATTCCTGGTAAACTTCTCTAGTATTGCTTTTGAACTGGGATGCTTGTGATAGATTCTCTCAGTTTGGGTTTGTCTGAAAACATCTTAACTTTGCTTTTAATTTGCAAATGATATAATATAATTATATCATTTTTGAGCAATCACTTGTACCAAGCACTGTGTTTAGTAGTCTATATACTTTTTTAAATTAAACATTTACAGTAGTCCAAGGAAGTGGATATTGCCATCTCTACTTTCCAAGTAAGAAAACTGAGATTTCCAGAGATTTTTTAAGGTTCCCTATGTAGTCAATAGCAAAAGTTTGCCCTTATTTTGAAAGATATTTCCACTGGGTATTGGATTCTAGGTTGGTATTTATCTTCTTTTAGCATTTTAAAGATGTAATTCCATTATATTCTAACTTGCATTGATCTGTTGAAAAGTCAGCTTTATCCATACATTGTATGCACATGTGTCGCGGGAGACACAGGAATATGCATTAATGATAGTCACTGCTTCTGAGGAGGCTAGGGAGAATGCATTTCCTTACCTTTTCTAGCTTCCAGAGACCACCCACATTCCTTGGCATGTGGCCTCTTCCATCTTGAAAGTCAGAATGTCCAGTCGAGTCTTTGTCACAGTGCCGTCTTTCTGGTCCTGACTTCTGTCTCCCTCTTCAGTACGTGAGGACCCGTGTGATTACACTGGGCCTACGGGACAAAGCCAGGATAATCTCCCTATGTGCTGATCAGCAACGTTAATCCCATCTGCACACTCAATCCTTTTCTCACCATGTCATGTAACATATGGAAAGGTTCCAGGGTTTGGACATGCACATCTTTGAGGGTACTGGGGGAGGGTGCATAACACAGGTGAGACACAAAAGACAGAGACTTCATGCTAGAGGAATGAAACCGCAAAAGGATTTGGGCAAACCAGGTTCTTCAAGATGAGCTTGAAATATAGCCTGTTTCTTTGGTGGCCACAAATTATGGATTCACTGGGGCAATTCCAATTGCATGTATCTTTTTCCCATTGTTCCCCCAAATACACTCAGATTATGTGTCCCGGTTTGGATGCCCCAAACCCCAATTGCATAAGAGAAGGAAAACCACGGATGCTAATTACAGGCTTCTCCTCCCCAAGAGTGACTGGCTACATTCCCTTTTTATCAAGTTAAAAGTTGCCTGCTGGAATGGGCAATACCGTTATTTTTCCATGAGCCACAAGGGGCCACGGTTATGTCTGAGTGACTGTGGACTGTGCATACTGACAGCACTTCATTTCTTTGCTCTCCTCAGGAAATGCACAGGGGTTTTCTGCCTGTTCAAAGGAGGCTTTTATTGGCAATCAGTAACTCTCAGCAGAAAATAACAAGAGCCATGATTACCCATGAGTCTGGGACTGTGCCGAGTGTCTCACACAAGCTCTACTCCTGACTGTGAGCTCCCAGACACACACCCCGTTTTCTCTCTGCCAGGCCTGTTCCAGGGCTCCCTCAGTGCTCAGCTCAGAGTAGGTGTTCAATAAATACACGTAATAGGAATGATTCCATTGACTTTTCACAGCTTCCTTGACATGTGGTGCCTTCCTTGTTTTACTGCTTGGAAACAGGCTCAGAGAGGCTAAATGACCAGCTGCCATCACACAGGGTGTAGACGGCAGAACTGGAATCCAACGCTGCATCTGACTCGAACCCAGGCTCTTAGCGTCTATGCTCACTGCTCTGCGGTCCAGCATGGTCTGTGCTGAGTGCTCCAAAGGAGGCAGAGCAAGGGAGATTGGAGAGCCAAGTCCGAAAGCTGACGTCAGTGAGAACCGAAGTAAAGTGAATGAGATTAACCACTTGGAAAGATGACTTGCTGCTGGGGATGCCCGCAGGTTTTCCAGGTTTCTTAAGGGAGGATGAACTGCATCTTAACTTTAAGTGCAGAAAACAGTTCAACCAAGGTGGCTGTGAAAGCTAATTTTATGTGTCATCTTGGCTAGGTCATTGTACCTAGTTTTTGGCCAAATGCCAGTTGAGATGTTGCCATGAAGGTAATTTTTTTCCCCTTTTGATCCAATTGACATGTAAATAAGTAGATGTTGAGTAAAGCAGATTGCTCTCCATAATGTGGGTAGGCCTCATGCAATTATTTGAAGACCTTAAGAGAAAAAGACTGAAGTCCCCAAGAAGGAAGGAATTTTGCCTCCAGGCAGCCTTCAGACCGAGTTGCCGCTCTCTAGCCTGCCGCCTGCCCTGCAGGTTTTGGACTCACCAACCCCCACAATCACGTAACCCAATTCCTTAAAATCTCTCTTTCTCTCCCTCTCCCTCTCCATATACACATCCAATCTACCAGTTCTGTTTCTCTGGAGAATCCTGACTAATACAGTGACCAGGCTGTGGCCTCAAGAAAATGTGTCTGGCAGGCAGCGCCGAAAAGAAAACCCACCATGTTGCAACCCAAGCGTGTGGTCCCAGCCTGAGGTCCTGCTGTGACCCAGATCAGAGGCTGGGGTCTTTGGGAGCACACTCTGAAGGGAGCCAAAGACTGTCTTTTCCAGGGGTAAGGAGGCTGGGGTTCTAGTCCCATCTCCCTGGGGCAATAGTCTGTGCAGGAGGACTGGTGAGCCACGGGCCAGCTGGGGTTCACGGAAACATTGCCCAACCACCCCCCACCAACCTGCTCTCACTCTTGGTTCACCCAGAGATGTTTGTACTGCAACTTGGTTTCCCCGAGAGGGCTTCCCAGGGGAACGCTGCACCTTGACAGACAATGCTTGTAGACTCAGCAAGCTGGTTTTCACGTTGATCATCTTCAGCCTCTTTCCAGTGTGGTTGGCAAAGTGTCTGTCTTAGGAGGGACACCCTGGAGCAGACCTTCGGAGCTCTTTGGAGGAGGGTGGATGCACACGTGACTTGTCAGGGAGGCAGGCCCAGGCAGTGCACCTCAGGCAAGGTCCCACCCTGCACAGCCCCAGCTCCATCCTGCAGGACACTCTGGAGCGTAAGTTACACTTCCGAGCTGTCCCAACTCAAAGCAAGGGAGCTGGACCGTCGTTCTTCTGTGGCCTTCTTTCATTGGTTAAGGGACACCTGGGGGTCCTTAGGCACTGCTAGCTCTCTGCGTGCTGCAGGACAGAGACGCCTGGCAGCCTGAGGCTAGTCCTGCCAAGGAGAGGAGCGGGTGCTGGCTGTTGAAGCAAAAGCACAATAGAATGGGGAGGGGCAGGCCACCAGATGGATCCAGCAGGATCAGCCAGAGCCCTGACACTGTCCTCTGCAAGCCCCTCCCCAGAACTGACTTGCCGAGTTCTACTGGTGACTTCACAATGCACCTCAGCCCAACCCTGTCCGGCAGCAGCTGTCTCTCTGACTCCTCCCTTTCTCCCTCTTCTGCAGACAGGATCCAACAGGGGAAGATGTAATGTCGGTCCTTCTCCCCCTTTCCTTCAGGGCCTCATTGTCCTGAGAAGTTCTCTCTATGCCCTGGGAAGTCCTGACAGAAACAGAATCGTCAACTTCTCACATACATGGAAACAATGGCCACCGGACTTGTGATCATTTGGACATTCATTGATTTGCCACTTTATTTACAGAGCAACGCCCAGGTGCCTGGCTCCCAGGTTAGGGGGGGGCAGAAGGCAGACACAGACACTGCCTTCCTGGAGCTAACATTCTAGAGCTACTCAGACCAATATGCAGCCACTAGCCATAGGTAGCTATTTAAGTTTAAATTAATTACAATTAAATGTCAAAATCAGTTCTTCAGTCACACTAGCTACATTGCCAATGCTCCATAGCCACATGAGGCTGGTGGCTACCGTATTGACAGCAGCTCTTGAACAGCCCTGGCCCAGAGAACAATGAAGGAAAAACCCCTCCAGAGTTCTGAAGGCAGAGTGCCTGCCTAGTAATGCCTCGGTAATTCCCTCTCTGGGGTGGCCACGGGCATCGCGTGTGCCCCTTAGTCTCATATGCCCTTTGAAGTCTCACAGAAGGCGTTGACACCCATGATTACGTTCAGCCTAATGACACCTCTAAGGGTGGTAGAGAAGAGATTCTGATTCCCAGATAATAAATTTACTCACTAGAGGACAGAGCCAAGGTCTAGAAGGCTTCAATTCATGGTGAGTGTGTTGTAGAGGTGGGCCTTACACTCAGGTATTTGACTTTTAGGCAGAGAACTTCCTAGTTCAGCAGCATGTTGTAGAAATAATGAGTTCTACAAGAAATAATGAGTTGCAGTGTGATCACTTGAAGACAGTGACACACCAGCCTTGTAGGTGACATCAAGTACTTCCTGTAAGGAGTTATGTTTGGGGAACATTGACACCTAAGAACATTATATGGTTTTCAATATAGTGTAATTGTATTAGTCAGAGTTGTCTGGGGAACTAGAACCAATAGTATACATACATATAGATATATAATATATATAATAAAGATATATTATGAAGATGAAGGATTGGCTCACATGATTATAGAAACTGAAGTCCCACAGTTTGCTGTCTGCAAGCTGGAGAATCAGGAAAGCCAGTGGTATAGTTGCAGTCCAAACCCAAAGGCCTGAGAACCAGGGGAACCACTGGTATAAATTCCAGTGTGAGTCCAGCAACCTGAGAACCAGGAGCGCAGATGTCCAAGGGCAGGAGAAGGTGGATGTCCCAGCTCAGGCAGAGAGTGACTTCACCCTTTTGACAGTGCCTGCCTGCGTTGGTGAACATGATCTTCTTTACTTGGCCTGCTGTGTCAAATGCTAATCTATTTCACCCTTACAGACACACCCAGAATAATGTCTTACCAGCTGGGCATTCCTTAGCCCAGTCAAGTTTACACAGAACATTAACCATCACAACAGTATATCTTCTTTTTCTTTCCTCGTTTTTTTCTGCAGCTTCTTTTTATCATTAAGTCCAGAAGCCGATGTGTTAATGTAAGTAAAAATAATCATCATAACAGCGACAACCATGTTTGTAGTATTTACTAGGCCCCAGACACTGTTCCAAGCATTTTACATATATCTATTCAATTTATCTTAACAACACCCCTATGGTGCAGGTACTATAATTATCCCCAATCTACAGCAGAAGAAAATAAGGTCCAGGGTGGGTGAGTGACTTGCTTACAGCCTAACAGCTGAGGAGTCGTGGACCCACTGTCTGAGTCCAAACCACGGGGCATGCTGCCTTTCAGGCTGTGAGAGCTTATTTATGTTTGCAATGATTAACACTGTCAATTACAAATTATAGAATGTGTATTTTGAGCCCTAACAATTGTTTTCAGAGGTAAAGGGTCACAATGACATGCTAGACTAATGAGCGTTTTGGAAACTGCCCTTTATATAACAAGTTAATAAAATGGGTCCATTCTTTTGATTTCTCAGTACAAGTGTCCAAAAATAGTCCATCATGCCTAAATGAATGGAAATCAGTTTCTATGTTTCTGGAGCTGCTATTTTCAACATGAACCAACCCCTCACAGAGCATCGGCCACAGCTCCAGGTGGAGAGTGGCACCTTCTCTACTAGCTTATGCAGTAAGTGTGGCTTCGCTGCCTGACCAAGCCCTCAGGCACTGCTCACAAACCAGTGTAGACCCATATGTTCGGTCACCTTTCCTTCCTGATAAAGTGAACAGTCAGATGTGCCACTCAAAATTCTGCTCAAGACAATTTATCTTCCTTGCTGTGCTTTTGGGCCACCTCTATTTGGGAACATAACGCTACAGTGGTCCTCCCTTGTCTGGAATCCACACGTCATGCGGAACTATTTGCAGACTAATCTTGAATGATTTTCTGCCTCAGTCATCTGGTCCTAGGGAATGTCACATGAGGCCATGCGTGCAGGTGGAAAGAGAGGCAGTGATATGGTAAGAGTGGTTGCCCTGGGAGTAGAAGCCACCTGCGAATGCAAATTACTTGTACTTTCAGGACTTTCTCTGACCCAATTTGTATATTTCACTGCCGCTGGTGACAGAGTACTTCTGGGCATGCACGACAGGTGGGTTTGTGAGTCAGGATAACAAGCTCATGATGTGCAGCTCAAGTTTCACACGCAGTCAGACTCTGAAAGGTACTAGCGGCCAGCCAAAAGCTGTTCCTCAAAGGGCCAGACATGGGCTTATTCCAAAGCCTTGGGACCTGTGCTGCTTTCCTCTAACAGGGCTTGCTACAGCTGCCACACAGACGCCTGCTCTGTCACAGACACTCCGAGGTACTGGATCATAAGGCTCCAGCAACAAGCTGGTTGCACTGCGGGCTGAACCAGATGGAAAGGCCTTCTCTTGCTTTGAGCCTCACTCAAATCTGGCTGTGCTGAGGCTACTCAGTGAATGACTTAGATCAGTGCAACCCAATTTGGAATAAGTTGTCTCTATGATACAGAGACACTCATCAAACTTTGCACCTCTTTCTTAATGGTGAGGCTGCAAGGTACAGAAACTGTCTTTAATTTCAAAGAGGAAATTCTACTGTGCTCCAGACTGCTATTATACACCAGACTCTTAAATAAACCATTCGACTCTGGCATTGTTATGGCGCTTATCGCTCACATTCTGACACACGTGTATCATGTCAAGGTATCTGGGTACCTGCCATTTCTTGCTGACTGGTCCTGTCGGTATGAAATAATCAATGCAGTGGATCAGTGGTGAGATGTTCTGCAGACTAAACATGACACAGTGATGGAACTGATATAGTCTGGAGCAAGGTAGTGAAAGTGTACTGCTGTCGCTGCCAGGAGAAAGAAAGATGTTTTTGGTATTCTTTGCTTATTGTAAGAGAGGAAAAAATATTTTCTGGATCAATAGCTGCATACTAGGTTCTAGCAGTTGTACTGATTTGCTCCAGTAAATAATGAGGATCTGGAATAGCATCTACAATTGGAGTCACATTCGACTGAGTTTACAGTGATCCACTGTTGTTCTTCAAGAAAAATCTATCTTCTACACAGGCCAAGGCTAAGTCAGAATAGGGTATGATAGGACTCTCACTCCTGCTTTTTCAAGGCTTTGATGGCAGCCTTAATCTTTGAGATCCCCTTGGATGATATGTTGCCTTTGATTATCTTAGTAGTGAGGGCCATGGGCTTCCGCTTGCATCTTTTTACCTTAATAACACATGCTCCAGTGGTCAGGGAGACAATGTGAGAAGTCTTGAGTATGTTTATTCTGGATATGCAGTTCAAGAATGAAGACAATAACCACAGATGACTTCAAGAGTGCATTGCATGCACTGTGGGACATGATTAATCTAAAACTTTATTCTGTAATTTTCACAAGGTCCCACTCTATCCAGAAAACCATAGCAGTATTCCGTGTCCCTAGGCATTCACCTTAGCTTACAGCAAGGATCCAGGGATGGGATGGTTAATTTCATAATGGCCAGGGACCCCTTTTCAGGAGGTCAAAGAGAAGATATACTGTGCCCTTTTGGTGGTGGTGTAGCATCTTTCTTCAAAGGTACCAGATCCTCCTCATCTGTGCCTTTGAACTGACCATAGGAAGGGTGAGAGGTCATGACTCTGCTACAGTGACTAGAGCCCTCATGACCACTCTGAGGACCTCCAATCATCAGGCCAAGGGGGGACTTTCGGTTGTAAGAATCAAGAGGACTTTGGTGGGTTACCCAGAACTGTTTTAGTTCTAGGGGCCTTAGGCTCACAGTTCCTCTGAAATGATTTGGGGGTAAAATTTATCAAAATGGTGCATTTATTTGAGATTTTGGAATTTTGAATAGCTGGGTGTGATTCATGTTTGTTCGATTAGTTGGCTGAAACCTGGGCGGCTTACATAAAATCCAGGTAGTTTACATGAAATTAAGTGAAGGTGCCAGACATTCTTAGATATGTTGTAAATGCACACGTAGGGAGATAGAACTATCAGAGTGAATTTATTGAGTATGATCTGCTCATCCACTTCCTAACTATGTCCCCAAGATGATCCAGAGGCATTGAGACCTACATTCGTGACGGAGATGCCAGTATCTTTTAAAGGTCCCATAGTGGTTGTCCACGGCGGGCCTGGGGGAAGGCGGGGACAGTTGCTTCTGAAATGGGCCTGTGGTGTCAGCAGGGAGGATGGGATCCCTCGAGGCAGAGGCACTTTGACTCCCCAAAGTTCAGCAGGGCCTGCGTGGGATTCAGGGTGATCTGACCTACCTGTCTTTAGCTCATTGATCATGTAGTCCCTTCCTGCTTCATAAACTTCCTGAGAAGGTAATTTCACCTATAATTTATTTCCATCTTAAAACGAAAATAACTTCAACCTCTAGTTCATCTTTTCCATTTATAAACACTGCACATCCCCAAGGCTGAAAGCTCCTGAGAGCACAGCTTTTCAAACTTTTATGTTCATTTGAATCACCTGGGATCCTGTCAAAACACAGACCCTGATGCGGGCGGTCTGGGGCAACATCTGCGACGCTGCATTTATCACACACACAGGGGACGCTGGTGTTGCTGGTCCATGGGCCACACTTGGAGTGGCAAGAGTTTAGAGCTAACGGGACATTGGAGGATGGCTGAGGGGTGGGTCCTGCTTCCCCCTCCCAGATCTGCTACTCTGCTTTAACCAGAGCAGACTCCTTTTTTGTGGGAGTCTTATCTCAGATTTTATTTGAAAAAAAAATAGTTCTAATTTAAAGCAGATCTAATTTTAAGAAACATCTGGTCTAAATATTCATGATGAATTTTCAATTAAAAGAAAGAGACATACGACCAAGTGATTCTACTTCCCATTGTTAAAGGAGGAGTAAGGAATTCAACTTCTGGAATTCTTTACAGACCTAATTTTCATTCATTTAAGAAACAATTTTTGCAAGGCTACTCTGTTTGAAGCACTGTAAAGGCTAAATTTGTCCAGAATCAGCTATTGCAAAGTGAAAATCTCCATCTTTGGCTGTCCTGACCCGGGAACCATCTCTCTAAAATTGCAGTTGCTGTTGGCACAACACAATCCTCTCTCCCCGTGCCAGGGCTGGGCTTGGCAGTTTGCACATGTGCATTTCTGTTGGCCTGGGACCTCCTTTCAATCTCCTGTTATCGGGAGAGGCTGACAGCACCCAAGGCCTGGAGAGCCAACAAAACACTTCAGATGGGGTTTGTGAAGACTCCTTTTGTGGAGGGAACACTATTCTTTAGATAAAATTATGAGGATATGAGGAAAGGCAGGAGAAAAAGGGTTTCAAATAGACCCATGACCTATGCATTTGATGTGCTTCTAAATTTTTATAAATGCCAATGACTCTTGATTCCAGAGAGGTGTAGTATGTGTTGCTGGTCACTTTCCATTGGTTGGGATTCTTAACACATTAATGTCATGTCTTTCCACCTATTGAAATTCTTTCAAAATCACACTCAGGGCGCCATTGAAATGTTAACTTCTTTGTGATGTCATCCTTGACAACCCCACTATTGTTAGAAATAATTGGTGCTTACTCTGCAGTAATTGATCCTTACTCTGTAGCTAAGCAGAGGTTCCCAATAGACTTCAGATATTAATAACAAATGTATATATTTTGATGTAACTTTAAAGTAACTCAAATAGGTTTGGATAATGCATGTTCACTTTGCCTGAAAAAGTATATATAATTAAATCATGTACACATTTTGTTGGTGTGCTGCATGTGTTTCATTCTAACTCTTGGCACAGCCAGTCTCATAGGGTTTACAGGTCTTTCTTATAGGCTGTGGGCTAATTGAAGAAAGGAATTACATCTATTTATTGTTCACATTAGGGCCAATATATTGCACTGTATCCAGAATTCACTTAGTAGTCCCATGAAACCCCTGAAATTATAAGCAACATTTTATGTATATATGTGTGAGTATGATTTTCCGGGAAAGGGGACCATAGCTCACAGAGAGTATGTTTATGAAGTAAAAATCTGTCTGTAATGCACACAGGTTTGAAGTATTCATGCAGTGATTTGTAGGTTTTAAGATTTGGATTTTTCTGTATTAGTTCCCTGCCATGGGATGTTTCGGCTCCTTCCTTGCCTGGCTGGCTGCCCATGGGTCTTTGCAATGCTTGGCACTCCCGCTGGGAGGTGGACTATTGCAGGAAAAGAGGTAGGGCAAGAACCAGTCAAGGTAGCCGCATCATTAGCAGTTCCTTTTATGGAGGGAGAGTTGAAATGGGGTTTGGGGATTATCAGCGGATATTAATTATCCATGACCTTCTGGTCTCCCATGACTACCAATGACTTAAAGTTGCCTGTAAGCTTAAATGATTTCTTTTAACTAAATGAAAAGGATCAGATTCATAAACATCAGTGAGCCTTGAGAGTTGGTGCTAAGACTCCATCACTGGGCTGGGGTTATGGCCTGGGGAAGAATCGGATTGACGGGAAGTAGCAGAAACTCATTTTTCTATTAATAGCATGAAGGCACAAGGGGGCTATCTTGGGAGGATGCCCTTAAAAAGCACGATGCTTCTCAAACAGGAGGACGTGCGGAAATCCCTGTGGAAGAGCCGGGAGGAGAAACATGGGCGTCTGGGGTTTGACAAACTCCCAGGGGACTGTCACATGCTGCCCTCCTCATCCCCACCCTAAATTGAGAACTCGCTGGGCTGTGAAGAATGAAATAGTATCTGCAGAACACATTGTGCTTCTTGGCAAGTCATGCCCTACCGTGTCGTTGCCCTGCTGCCGGCATTCGGTAGTTCATGTGACTTAGCACAGGACTTGCGATCCAAGCACACTAACGTTTCAGCACCCCCCCCATTCCTTTACTTACACCTGTCTGGACTGCGCCGTATTCATGGCACGTGAGTTAAGGTGGAAAGAGTCAAATATAAAACTCAATTTATTTGTCTCAAATAGTTCAAATAGTGTGTCTCCCTCGATGGCTGTTTCTTTGGGATGACTCTCCCACTCGCCTCATTTTTGTTGATGGCTGAGTAACAAAGCCCAGCTATCATTCCCCGCCTCGTGCTGCAGAGCAGAGAGAGAAAAACAATTCCGGGAAGTTTTCCAAAAGGCGTCGGCATCTGAACAAGTGAAGCCAGGACGTCGATGTCGTTCGGCTGGGCATGTGCCTGGAGCATTCACCCCACGGAAACGGAGGAGGTTTGCTTCACAGTAGAACTCTGTGTTTCCTGTTAACTTTCTGGAAAAACAGAAAATACTAGTAACCCTGGCTCCCTGAATGCAATGCCACAGCACCATCCGTGGCATGGCATGACAGCATTATTTAGTGCTTTGGGGGCTCTTTCTGTTGTTAATGTAGCCAAGCACAGAAAACCAGAGAGATCAAGGACACTCGCACAGTTACTCCTGTGGACAGTGCCGCTGGGTCTCAAGAGCAGCACGAGGTCTGGAGAAGTTAAACAGCTGGCCCAAAGTCACGCAGCCACCACAGAGACGGCCACACACACACTTCTAAATGTGTTT